AGGACACTGGAAAACTATGCATGAGTCACACTTAAAAGTTTTATACCCTATATACTTCCACTAAAGCAGAAATACAAAAGCCACAATAATCTCAGTAGCCAGCTGTCATTTCTCTTTAGGGACTGTAGGGTGGTGGCTTTTCAAAAGGGGGATAGTAGGGTGGAGAATACCGGGGTGGTGCACTCGAGGACCACATGTAGCTGGGCGAAGGGGAGGCAGACTGGGGCTCATCAGAAAGTCCAGAGGGTGGGGAGGATGGAAAGACGCTGGAATGCTGTGAAATCAAAACAGAACATCAGCTTAGGCAGTGAATTTACAATTCCCTGCACAGTCATTACCATTTAAAAACGAGTATGGACCAAGTTTGTTTCTGTGAGGAAGAAGGGAGAGCTTCCAAGCTTCACAAAGTAAGGGACGCGAAACAGGTTCTCTTAGTCATGCAGGCTGTAAGCCTCAGACAAATATCTTCAAATCTTCCCCCACAATCCCTTTGGACCTCACATCTGATCAGTTACTGAATCCTGTGGCTTCTACTTCTATGTTGTCTTTTGAGTCATTTGAATCATTTCCTTTTCCTTTTCCACTTAAGTGTTCAATACCTCTCCCTTAAACTATGGTGACAGCATTCTAACTAGTTTTCAAAAAGGTAGTTTGGGCCTTAACATTTAATGATGTGAAGCCATTGATCCCTGGGAAAGTCTTTGCTAGAAGAATATATCCTAGGAAAGTAGTACCATGGTCAGGAGCCCATGCCGTAGATGATAATAAGATCAGAGAAGTTAAATGACTTGCTTGGATTAGTAGTCTTCTAACTCAGTTCAACATTTCCTATTTCATCCTAATTGTTCCCCCCATTACCCCCACATGCAGGGTAGTTTGGGGAGCAAAAAGTAACAAAGGCATAGAGGGGAGAATACCAATGCTAAGAATGAGGAGCAATATGTCAGGTTGCGGAGACATTGAGGGTTCAATTTCACTTTGTTATCGAACTTTGGTACAGGTTTTAGTAAGGGAGTGGATATGGCTCTTTAAAAACATCCAGCGGATTGGCACAATAGGAGTCATTAGTCCCTCTCTTTCCCTTTCCTGGTCCACATATACCCTTGACCCTATTTGCCTGCTCACGGAGAGTTGGCCTGTTTTGTTCATTGCTGTATCCCCCGGAGCTCAACACAATGCCTGGCAAGTCAAAGATACTAAATAAATCTTGAATAGTGAATATAACTTCAGGAGTATATAAGATGAACTTAGCATGCTTTTTAAAAATAAAATCTAACACATGCCCACCCTCTGTATCTGTGGATTCCACATCCATGGATTCAACCAACTGCAGATGCAGCCAGGTCACACCAATTGTTATGAAATGAGGAAGTGACTCCCAAAGAAATTTATCCATATATTACCATTTTCACTCATGTATGATGCTAAGATTCCTTACAAGTAATCTAGAGATGGGTTGAGGTATGCTGGAGGACGTGCATGGGTTATAAACAAACACTATGCCATTTTATTTAAGGGACTTGAGCATTCGTGGAATTTGGTATCCCTATAGGGTTGTTGAACCAATCCTCCAAGGGCATTGTGAGATGACTATATTTTCTTCTTTTTTAAAAAGAATTATTTTATTTTACTTATTATCACTCTTTAATTTGCCACAGGGCATGCATGCTCACTGGAGAGTGAGGGGGGAGAGAGAGAGAGAGAGAGAGCTGCCAGACCCAGGACTCAAACTGTGGTCAGCCATGTGGAGTCCAGCGCCCTGACCACCATAACACCATTGACCCAAAATGACTATATTTTCAGAGTATAGTCACACCATGTGGATACTGCTGACTGACTCCAGTGATGGAGCAGAGCTGAGGTGAATTCTGAAGGCTTGAGGGCACTACAAGGATGGTGTGAGGCAGGATGTCAGTTTGCTCTCAGGAAGAGCAAATGTAAGTCACCAAACAGGCTGGGAGAGCTGCAATTACTGTGTTGCGCCTAGCTCTAGGAAGAGCTGGTATATATTTTTAAAAACACACACACACACAAATTTCTAAAGAGTTAAAGTGCAATTTGTAGGGACGGTAATGGAGAGGGTGTCAGGTCCTTTTTTGTTCTGCTAGCCAGAGTGTGAGGGGATTGTGTCATTTTCCCCAGGCCTGTAGCAATCTAAGCATCAGCCTTGACATGAGGTTTCTGGAATCTGAGACCAATTGGCTGATTCTCATCCTCAGTCCTGACCTCTGCACTCCTGAGAAAGGGATGTCCAGGTTTCTAGATCTTGCTGGAGACACTGAAATATCTGTGCCTTACCTCATAATGTTAGGGTTGAAGAGAGATGAGCTGCATTACCCCCTCCTTCCCCACCCTATCCATTATTTTTCACTGTGAGTGAAGGGATGACAGTGTCATAGAACCTGGAGAGCTTTTAAAGGCAAAACACCTTGGGGCAGTAGATCGAGACAAGCCATGTTTCTCCTTCCTAAAAACTCAATTTTGTTCTACTCCCTCCGAGAAGATGTACTTTGTTAAGACATCAGTATAATCATTTCCTGATTGTCTACTCCACACGGGCCAAACTCTTCCTTCCTCCTTACCCCCTCCTCTTCTGTTGCTTCCCTCAACTAAGAACTTCTCCTTTTAACTAGAGAGCAGAGCAAAAACCAGGGCTGAACATCTCAGTGTCCAGGCCTGTGGCTCTCTGCCCTTCTAAATCCCACGATAGGGATGGGGAGACGTAGCAGGCCAGTTTTAGGTGTTTCTAAGCATAGGAGGGAGGGGCAAGTTTCCCCGCAGTAGAGCTAAAGGCAGTTCTGTCCTGAGAGGCAGTAAAATGCTCTGTGGGCAGCAGCTGCCGTGGATGCCAGTTGTACACTTTAATAAATAAAAGGGGGTGGCACAACGGCCCTTGGGTTTTCACTTCTCAGTTTCACGTTTGGAAAGTATTGGGGTGAGGAGGAGGGAGTGGGATGATTCTCACTTCCCTTTGAGGATGCTGGGAGTCTTAAGGAGAAAATTAAAGGGTTCCTGGCACGGCTAGAGAGCTAACTGGCTGCAGTCCACACTCCCTTGGGGTTTTGGTGGTGGTTGGGGGGAGATGCACAGTGCTGGTGAGCAGTTTCCTAGCAACAGGCAGGCACTTTGGGAAAGATTTGGCTTACTTGCAGCTGAGGAGCTGGCCTGGTGCGTTTTGGTTCCTGCTTGAGAGTGTGAGTGTACTAATGTGAGGGGCTGATCAAGAGAACAGAGCTTTTAAATCCTTGCACACTGCAATACATGAAGAGCATCTAAATAGCCTCCTGGTGGGCCTAGTCTGTTCTAGCTTCCTGAGCTGCTTTGCAGAGGCTGGGGTAGCCTACAGGCTGATGGTGCTGAAAAGGGAGCACCACACAGTCAGAGACTCAGGCTCTCTTCCACCTTAGCCCGCCTCCTCTCTGCCTGATGGCTGACTCCCGCTCTTCAAGGTCAATACGCCTTTCTGTCAGGACATACTTCTCTCTTGGGGAGCATCATGGGGCAGTGACTCCAAAAAGAGTTATGGAACTGGCTGGTGACAATGACTAGCTAAAGATACTGTGTCCCAAAGGTATAATCCAGGATCTGTTGGTTCTTTGCATTCTCCCTCTTTTCTGCCCCAGAAAGCAAAGGCTGGGGATATGGAGAGAAGAGTATATAAAAGGAAGAGGAAGAAAAGGTGTGTGTGTGGAGGGGGGCAGGAACAAGGGGAAGTAGAAGAAGAAAGGGAAAAACCTTGCAGGTGAGGGGAAAAGAATAAGTAACAACAGCCTTCTAAGGCTCTCAGCAACTAGTGCCATAAACTGCCTCCCTCAGGATTAAGGCAATCCTTTTATTACAATGGCTTACTTTATAAGTCATTTTTAGTGGCTAAGGTGAAATCTGGCATACCCTCATACAATAGTTTGGATGTCCCCCTAAAATCCACATGTCGGGACTTGATTGTATTATAAAGGCATTAAGTGAACACTTGATCCAATTATGGTGTTGAAAGGAGGTGGGGGCTCTTGGGTGTGAAAAGGTCATTAGAGTGGGGCCCCTATGATTGGGTTCTGGTGTATTTATAGAAGGGGACAGGGAACTGAAGCAGACGGAAACTTGTGGACAACTACTCTGCTCAGGATCCTCTGCCATGTTGTAGCCTCACCAGAAGTTGGCCCCTGGCCCTCCCAGTCATGAGCTGAATAAAACTCTATTTCTTATAATTCACCCAGTCTCATGTATTTCTGGAAGCAACACAATAATGCAGTGAGACACCTCATGTGCTTTAATAAAGAGCATAAACAGAGGTGTTTGCATTTTGCACATGCCAAAACTTTGTTTCAAGATGAATCTTGGCAATTCACCAGGTGGACAGGAAAGAGATCAGTCCATGGTTAGAATAAACTAGAAGGACTGGCCCAGTATGCTAGACTGGAAAGTAAGAGGGGTCTTCAAAAAGTTCATATAAATCATGAAAAAAAAATGAGCATGGATTTCAAAAATTTTTTGCCTGCAAATAAATTGGACTGTAATTCCAATCTGAGAAGAGCATGAGGGAGCTCTGGCCTTTTTTAGGCAGGTTTGTGCTTCTGGTGATTTTATTGTTAGAGCTGGCATGTGTTTGTTGACTGCATTTTGTTTATCTGGGAACATAGGCAGAGATGTTTCCTGGCCTCTTGGCTTTCTTGAATTAAGACTAGTATTTCCGGGACCAGCAGATAACATAATGGCTCTGTCGCTGGACTCCCATGTAGTCAACCACGGTTCGAGTTCCAGACCTGGTGGCTTAAACTCAGGCTGAGTGTGTGTGCATGTGTGCCCAAGATCCTGAGAGGAGAATAGAGGAGAAGGGATCTCGGTGTGGCCATCCCTCTGGAGGGTGATTGCTCGCTTTCTGTCTCTCTGTCTCTCTCTGTCTTTCTGGTGAGTGCACATGCTCTATAGCAAAAACCTCTCCAAAAAAAAAAAAAAAAAGACTGGTATTTCCCACATGGCTGATCACGATTTGAGTCCCCGACCTGGTGGCTTGAAAATCATGCTGGGCATACGTGCATGCATGCTTGAAATTCAAAAAGGAGAATGGAGAAGAAGGGATTGCGACCTGCCGTCCACTGTGAGGGGTGATTTCTCACTTTCCCTCTCACTGCCTCTTTCCAGTGAGTGCACTATGGCAAAAACCTTAAAAAACACACCAAAGAACCCCCCAGTATTTCCTCCTATGAAACTGTAAGGAAATTAAATGACAACAGCAACAGCCTTTTCTAAGGCTCTCAGTAACCTGTGCCATAAACTGTCTCCCCCAGGATTAGACAAATCCTTTTATTAAATGGGCCCAATTTAAAATGAGTCATTTTTAGTGGCTAAGGTAGAACCTTAGTGTACTCTCATGGGATTTAATCAAGTGTATGAAGAGAGGCTCATACATTTTGCAACTTGGCAAACAAAAGACTCAAGTGCTAAATGAAATGCCATTTAAGTTCTAGAGGGAAATAAATCACTTAAAAACATACTTTTCAAGATCTGCATTGTGGGACCAGCAGTTAGCATAATGGCTATCTCACTGGACTCCCACGTAGTCGACCGCGGTTCGTGTCCCGGACCCGGTGGCTTAAAACTCACGCTGGGTGCGTGTGCGTGCATGCCCAAGATCCCGAGCGGAGAATGGAGGAGAAGGGATTGTGGCGTGGCCATCCCCCCTGGGGGGTGATTTCTTGCTTTCTGTCTCTCTGTCTCTGTCTGTCTGGCGAGCGCATGCGCCCTATAGCAAAAACCTCTCAAAAAATAAATGATCTGCATTGTACAACTATGAAGTTTCTAAACGGGAAATATAAAAAAATAGCTTAAGCTTAGAGAAGAAACTGGGAGATGTATAACAAGTGTCCAAATAACCGCTGAGTTGGGGAACACAAGAAGGGAAACCCCTTTTCAGGGGAGACCAATTTAATAACTTAATACAAAAGAATAAAAGACTCTTTCTGTGGTCAAGATTAAGAAGCCTATAATTTAAACCATCAGAAAGTATACATATCCTAAAACAAACTGGGGGAAAAAAACCTATGCTATACTCAGAATCACAGCTTCTCCAAAGACTCCCTCAAGCCAATCTCTGGGATCAGACAGTTCTGGAAATAAATCTTTGCTCCTCCACATATCACCTCTGTGACTTTGGGGAAGTCACTTAATCTTTCCATTATTCAGTCATCTCATCTTAAAAATGACAAGAGTACTTCCGTCAAAGGACTAAATGATCGAATAATGGTAGATGTGAGGCACAATGTTTGGTACATAGTAAGTGCTCAATGGATAGCAGCTAGTTTTATTTTTAGAGAGATTTTTGCTATGGGGTGCATGTGCTCACCAGAGAGACAGAGAGACAGAGAGACAGAAAATGAGAAATCACCCCCCCCCCAGGGGTGATGGTCATGCCACAATCCCTTTTCCTCCAGTCTCCTCTTGGGATTTTGGGCACGCATGCACATACACCCAGTGTGAGGTTTAAGCTGCAGGTTGTGGGACTCAAACTGTGGTTGACTACATGAAAGTCTAGTAACATAACCATTATGCCATCTGCTGGTCCCAGTAGCCGTTATTTATTTATTTATTTTTGGAGAATTTGTTGTTGTTGTTGTTGTTGTTGTTATAGGGCGTATGTGCTCGTCAAAAAGACAGACAGCGAGAAATCATCCCTTGGGGGGTATGGCCACATCACAATCCTTTCTCCTCTATTCTCCTCCTGGGATCTTGGGCATGCACACACATGTACCTGGCATGAGTTTGAAGATACTGGGTCCAGGACTCAAACAGCAGTTGGCCATGTGGGAGTCAAGCAACATAACTGCTACGTCATCTGCTGCCCTCCTCCCCCCGAGTAGCTGTTAAAAAACAGAGGTTTCTGCATTCCCTGAAGTCTCTGCTATAAACCTGCAGTGCATATTTGAACTATGTGGCTAAATCTGGATCCCTTTTCTGTTAGGTACCTGTTTCCATTTATTTTCGTCTTGTTGCTACTGCTATTCCCTGACCTCCCCACCACCAAAGTCCCTAGACTGACCTCTTAATGCAACAACTGTCTCATTCAACCTCTATATCCACAGCTCCTAGCACAGTGCCTGGCACATGGGACGGCAGAGGAAACATTGAACAGAACCTATGCCACTGTCAATCTCATTTTCATTCCTGGGGTAGGGTCTGAGGAATGATGGCCAGAGAGATGACTTCATAACCTAAAGAGGGGTTTCCTGCCTTAGTTTGTGGCAATCATCCCCAGAAAATACTGTCCCTACTTAAAGGGTTCATTATAAAGTGTAAATTTCTAAAGTCAATGTAATTTACTTCAATATAAGAATAGAGGAAGCCTCTCAGGCTAGACCCATGTGTGGCCATCTGTCCCAGGAAGATATTATAGGGTCCCCGAGAGAACAGCGATCCTTGTGTTAACTTCAACATCTCTGCATTCTCTTAAATATTTCCTTATTGCCTGCCAGTACTAAAATTATGCCCTTCTTGAACATATTTGTGTTTTACAGTCTATGCCACCTATTTGAGTAACAAGTGACCTGAGTTGTCCATCTATGTATACAGTAGACTTTTTTTTTGCTTATTTATAAAGAGGGCATGTGCCCTCACCAGTGAGAGAGAGAGAGACAGAGACAGAGACAGAGAGGGAGAAGGAGGAACCACCCCTCTTCAATGGGGTGTGGTCATGCCACAATCCCTTCTCCATTTCTACATCCTGTTGGGATTTTGAGCATGCATGCACATGTGACTAGCATATTTTTCAAGCTACCAAGGCCAGGATTCAAACCACACAGTTGGCCATATGGGATCCAGCTCCCTAACCACTAAGCCACAGGATTGGCTCTACAGTAGGCTTTAAAACAAATTCTAACATTTTCCCCCAAACTTTAATGGATGCTTCCTTGTATTAGCAGTGAATAAGTTCCTATTCATACTATATATGTTTTTATTGTATTTTAGAGCCTTAGACTTCTCTGAACAGTATCTAAACCAAACACAACTACCCTTTATTTAACTTAATAGGATTTCTACGTTCAATTATTTTGTTAAAATGAAGCTGAAATTAGGTTGCCCAAGGGCTTTAGTATTGCCAAACTTGCTGGTTAATTGGAAGCACCCCAAACAGTTAGGCTTTTATGTCCCCTTGGAGCATTCATGGGCTCTTAATCAATAGAAGCAAATTCACTGTTTCCCTTCCTTAAAAGGTATTTCCTTTGGGACCTGATTTTTTTTATTTTAGTTTGCTATAGGGTACATGTGCCTGCCAGAGAGAGAGAAAGAGAAATCACCCCCTAGGAGAGATGGCCACGTCAAAGTCCTTTTTCCTCCATTCTCCTCTCAGGATTGAACATGCATGCATACGTGCCCAGCATGTTTTTCAAGACACTGAGTCTGGATTCAAACCACACAATCAGCCATGTGGGATCTGTCTTAACCTTCACACCTCCTGCTGGCCCTGGTCCCTAAATTTTTAATTAACCAGATTTTAGTAATACCCCGGCCTTCTGTGGTCCAGGGTTTACAATCACTATATATGCCTAAAGGACCATTTCATTTGTTTTCCCAAAGAGCCTATAGTTCAGTGCTCTGCACACAGTAAATCCCTTTTAATTAGATGTTGTTGTTTTGATTCTATTTTTCTTCACTTAGTCTCAACCCAAAAGGAAAAGGGGAAAGTGTAAATTGGGTAACACTATTTCTGACCTATGTGATAAAGGCCAAAAAGGGGAAGGGGGCATTATAAAAAATATTTCCTCTCTGTGTAGTCCCAGTTAGGAAATATGGAGAAAAAGAAAAGGACTTCTTTCTCTATGCAGGTTTTATTCAAACCCTTATGTGGCGCAGAATGTCCTTGTGCTAAGGAGCACGGCTAGGCCTCTCCCTGTGGCAGAGGAATGGAAAAAGCCACTCTTGGAAAGAAGTACATGGTGGTATACTAATGAACTGCCATTTCCCAGTCAAGTTATCTTCTCCTTGGTGTAGTTCAAGGCAATCTGGGACACCTTGATCCTATCTCCTTCTCTCCCTTTTGCTCCCATATCTCTGTTTCTTGTGCCATTTCCACTCTCTCCATCCCTCATCACTGCCTGCCTATGTAGTGTTTATGCTAGTCACTCATACCCACAAGCTGCCAAAGGCCACTGGGGAGCGAGAGCCTGGCTACTTCATGCATATTATGAAGACAATGAGAAGATTCCATAATTGAATTTATGGAGACAGCTAGGGGGGGGGAGCCACAACAAAGGTAATAGAGTGTTTTCTTCCTCTCAAAACATACCTGAAAGTCATAAGCAGAATATGGTGGTAGGTGAGGAGGGCTATGGTAGTATGTATTGTAGGATGCCACTTGGGGACGAGCATAATAAGAAACAGTTGGATGGGTGTTTTCAACAGAGCAGTTCAGTGCCGGGAGAGTTGGGTTCTGCAGAAAAACATAAATTAGAAACAATATAAACATTTTCTTTTTCTTCTCTTTTTTTTTATAGTTTATTTTTTATTATAATTTTTTTTTCCCATCGCAACACTCAAATGAATTTTCCATCCAATATATACTGTGCGTTGGCTCAATCAAGCACGTCAACATATATGTTCTCAGCAAATAATTTCCCAATTCTTGTGTCCTGCATACCTTGCCTTTTGTTTTACCATCCTAGATTCCCCATCCCCCTCCCTCTGTTATGACCCATCCTCCTCCCACATTGTCCCTGTCATCCCCGATTGCCCTCCGTGCCTCACCCCTCCCCAAATGATCTGTCAGTGATCTTAATTAGTCTAAGTCTCTCCAATAGTTATCACAGCTGACACATGCCTCTACATGAACTCAAGTCTGACTTTAGGCCTAAACCCCATTGGGTAAAAAGAGCATACTATAAAGTAGAACCCAACTGGGCCCATACCGCTCACTGCAGCCATCAAATATCCAATTTTTTTTTTTAAATGGTACGAATAGTTTAACGAATAGTTTTACCGTTTTTTTTGTTTGTTTTTTGTTTTCGTTTTTTTTTCTTTTTTCCCTAACATTCATTCCCTGAGCATCATCACAGCGTACTAAATGTAATCTCCCATCTAGAATAAACTGCACAGTGACCCAATCAAGCATGTTATCATCAATAATATTCCTCTTCTACTTTCTTGCTTATGCACATATATATGTTTTTTTTTCCTCTTCCTCTCTTTTTTTTTTTATTTTTTTTATTTTTCCTATGTTTGTCCCTCTGCCCTGTCTCACTCTCCCATTACAATATCCCTGCTATATACAGTTGTCTTCCAGAAGAGTTACTGAAAAAGTGATACATACAAGTAAAGGGAGAGAGGCCACAAGTTCCAACCATCAGCTCATAAAGTTTTTGGTAATAGGGAGCATAAACTCCACTCAGGGTTGGATAAGGAAGGGTCTCCGGCAGATCCACAAGTGTAGGTGAGTCTCCAAGGAATGCAGTTTCAGGAAAGCAGTTCTGGTACACAGGGATAATTATCAGCTGATGCGGCACAGCAGTCATCTTGTAGTTACCAGGAATGGTGTTGTGGGGGTCTGCAGTGTGAGTTGTCCTTGGGTATCTGGCTTCCTTAAAAATGGCAGAGTAGTTCTTGTTTTCCCCTGAGGTAATGCAGGGCTGGTAACTATCATCTTCTTAAGTTGCAAGTTCTTCAACCTTGTTTTCGGCCTCCGGGCCATCCCGGGCCATGGGGGGGGGGCGTGAGCCCCCCGAAACAATATAAACATTTATCACTAGGAAAAAGGTTTAAAAAACTATGGTACATCTATACCATATAATACCATACACCTCTTGATAAACAATGATGTGGACATATATTTTGTGACAGAGAAAATTGTCCAGAATATATTACCTTACATTAATATACCATAATTCTAATTTATGTTTTTTAAAGAACCAATAAATTATATATGCCTGTATATTTGTAAATGCCAAGGAATTCATCTGGAAAGAGTCACAATAAACTATTAACTTGGTTATCTCTGGGAGGAGAGTAGTATTAAGAGGTAAATGGGAACTCTTTCTTCTATATATGAGGTTTTTACAACTAATATTTGAGAAAACAGAAGGTATCCAAAACCTTTTATTTAAGAAATTCAACCTATAGTAAAGTTGAATTACTTATGTGATTTTTTTAAAAAAACAAGAATTAAAAAAAAACCCAAACTCAAAATATAAACTGTCAAATAGACAAGACTGAACAAGTTTTTGCTCTTGGTATGACAGAAAGCATTCAATCGCAAAGAGTCTGTAAAGATTGTGAGGATTCTTGTGGATTCTAACCTTGCTAAGGAACTCTCCTATGGATGTGAAGGGTATTCATTTCTCATCAGGCCTGCAAGCTAGAGTCAAACCCCTAGTAATGTACAGACATCATGAAAGACAGAGAGAGAGAAAAAGAGAGAGAGAGAGAGAGAGAGAGAGAGAGAGAGAGAGAGAGAGGTTTTTGCCCTATTATGGTTAATAGGGCAAATGCCCTTGCTAGAGAGACAGAGAGACTGAAAGAGAGAAATCACTCCCAGAAGGAATTGTGACCACAATCCTTTCTCCACTCGGGATTTTAGGCATGCACACACATGCACCTGGTGTGAGTTTCAGGATGCTGGGCCCAGGACTTAAACTGCAGTGGACCATGTGAGAGTCCAATGCTTTTACCACTATGCCACCTGCTGGCCCCAACCAAGAATAATATATTAATTCTTTTTTTTTTTTGTAAATAAAACAGTGCACATTTTACAATATGGTGGTGTATGTAACCCTTCAAGGGTTAAAGCTAATCATGTCCAGGATGGAGGCCCTACTCCCAACAGGGCCAAAGCACTGCTAAAGGAAGTTACTACTGCTCATTAATGCCTAAGTAGGACTGTGTTTTGTACTACATGGGTCAAGGTGTGGGGTAAATGTTTTTTTCTCTTTCATGTCATTGACTGCGTTAGCATTCGTATGGATAATCAAGAGTTGTTTCTTTCTAGTACATATATATATATAATCACATTAATGAAGAGCAGAATCTTCCTCTCAAGTGATGAAAATGTGTGGGCAGGCTTTGGCAGTGGCACAAATAACCAACTATGTTAGGGTGTTGGCAAGGGAAATTCCCTTACAGCAAGTTTCAACAAAGTTGTGTTGCTCTCTTCCTTGGAGTGGGCTATTGTTTACATCTCTAGGAGGTTTGAAGAGCTACAAGCCTCAGTCATTTAATGCAGCTCACAGACAACCAGAGAGATGTTTTCAGCCTCTCCAATGTGTGTGAGCAGGCTGAGATCACAACTATTCCAAGGGCTGGCTTGTCTTATGGAGGAAGAGCACTCAGAAATGTCCTTATTTCTACACTAGAATTCTAAGAAGAAATTTTATACCTGGAGAAGTACCCAAAATTACTTTCCTTTGGTGTTCTGTCCATTTAAAAATACCCTCCCACTCTTGCAAAATGAAATCAGCTCTTCTATGCAAATAAACTAAGCCTAACTATGGGAGAAATAATCATGTAATGTAAACTATATGTATAAAAGGCTTTGTGTTCAGTGAAGCCAGGGGTCCAGAATAATATTTGAAAGGAAGTTGACTATTGTAGAGAAAGAAACACAGAGGAAATACAAGAGGAAGATTGGATGAGCATAGGAAAACCACTGAGGAGAGAGTCTGGGTAGAGGATATAGAGAAAGTGGACAACAACAAGAGAAAAAGGAAGAAGGAGTGAGGATGGATGAAAGAAAAAGATGGGCAGGGATGGGGCCAAAGAAGTGGCCCCAAATAATGGTCTGCTTATATTTCAAATCGGCAATTCTGAAATTGGGCCCTATTTCTAGTGTGTATCTTTCTGTTAAAATTCTGGGGCTTCAGGGACCAGGAGTTGGTGTAATGGCTATGTCGCTGGACTCTCATGTAGCCTACTGCAGTTCAAGACCTGGACCTGGTAGCTTAAACTCACACCGGGCGCATGCATGCGTGTTCAAGATCCCCAGAGGAGAATGGAGGAGAAAGGATTGTGGTGTGGCCATCCCCCCGGGGGGTGATTTCTTGCTTTCTGTCTCTGTCTCTCTCTCTCTCTGTCTCTCTGGCAAGCGCACATGCCCTATAGCAAAAATCTCTGAAAAAAAAAACAAAACTGGGGTTTCAGTTGTGAGACTCCTACTATTGATCAGTAGCATTCTCAGCTCCTGCAAAACAAAATGTTACTAGGTAGCACAGGAAATGGTGGAAGCAATCTTGTCTGGACAAAACTGAATCTATTCTGAGGCAACGATTGGGGACTTTGGGTAGGATGCCACTTTTATTACTCTCTAGTTTACACCAAACCAGTGACACCAATTAGGAGTAAATGGCAAGATATATTCACTTTCTAAAGGTTCATCTCAAATCCTTATATGTTTGGTCAACCAATACTTCAATAAACATTTAAGATCCTTTTCGCTAAGCACCTCTGGTCAGGGAATGAACACATCTTTTTCCTTTCATGATCCCACATTTCTGGAAATGGTGGTGCATAGCCGATTTTATTGAAGGCTGCCAGCTCACAACCATTGGCTCCTGTCCTCATTCCTTCAGAATAGCTGCCATTGGCCATCACTCCTGGGCCTCCTTGAAGACCCCAGGACACTCTACATAGGGAGGAGGAACACTACAAATTTCCAAATACATTAGAACCTAGGCCAAAGATCTTATTTAAGCTCACCTAGTTGATGTTCCAGAACTTTCTACACTGTATTCTCATTTAATAAAGTGATCCAGGTAATGGTTCCATCTTACAACTCCACTAGTGTTCTCTCAATCTCATGAATCAAATAGTTTCTTCCTTCTACATATTTGTGGGGGACAATGTGATTTTTCAGTACAATGTGTATTGATTAAATGAGGATAATTTGTGTACCCATCATCTCAGTTATTAGTCATTATTTTGTATTTGGAATATTCAAAATCCCGTTTTTTAAAAACTCTGAGATAGACAGGAAATTGTTGTTAGCTATATTCACTCTACTGTAATTTCTGACACTAGAAATTGTTCCTCTTATCTGTAATTTTGTTTCCATGAATCAACATTCCTCTATCCATCTACCCCAATTGTTCCCAGCCTATAGTAGTCATTCTTCTAATTCTTTGAGGTCATTCTTTCAGATTTCCACATGGGAGTGAAAAAATGCCCCACTGGTCCTTGATAGAGTTCCCAGGTTTGCCATTTTATAATGCTTAATACTTCCCTTACTTACCTTCTCTATTGTTAAAAAAAGTTTCTAATAGTTGGAAACAACTCACTTTTATTTTTTTTTTAATAAAGCACCTAAACAAAAGAGTTAATATCTGTTAAAACATTTGTAGAACCAGAAAGGCCTATCCAAATGTTAGTAAGGGCAGTAGATATGGAGTAGAAAGAGCAAAAGCTCTGGCATCTGACAAATCTGGGCCACAGTCCCAGTTCTGCTATTTAGCTCCAAGCAAGTCACTTGACCCCTCTTGGCCTGTTTTCTCATCTGTTAATTGGGGACAGTAATACCTACCTCACAAAGTAGTAATAGTGAAGACAGAAGAAAGTAACGCGTGCTAAAGGGCCACTACTGCGCCTATCAGGACAGGCCATCAACAAATCCTTTTCCTCTAGAGATCAAAGACAACTGTGAAATTAAGAATCCAGAAATAGATTTATACAGCTGTGATTAACGGAGTTTTGATAAGGGTGCTAAGACCATAAAATGGAGAAAGAGCAGTCTCCAATAAATGTGCTGGGATAACTAAATACCCACTTGTAAAAGAACGAAGTTGAACCCTTACTTCATGCCATATAATATGAAATAAAAATAGATTAAAGCCTAAATGTAATGGCTAAAACTATAAAAACTCTTAGAAGAAAACAAGGGAAAATCTTCATGATCTTGGACTTGGCAATCAATTCTTAGATATGACACCAAAAGCACAAGCAACAAAAGAAAAAAATAGGTAAACTGGACTTCATCAAAATTAAAAACTTATTTTTAAAAAAGGAAAAAATAAAAACTTTTGTGCATCAAAGCACATTATCAAGAAAGAGGGGGTACCTATCTTTCTCTCTCTTTCTTGCTCTCTTTCAGAAAAAAATAAATACAAAATATACTTAAAAAAATTTCTCTCTCCTTTGTGCATATACACTCTCTATTGTGAATATAAGAAATAAACTTTAAAAATAGGTAAAAGAAAAAGTGAAAAGACAACCCATAGAATGGGAAAAACTATTTGTGAATCACATCTGATAAGTGTCTAGTATCTACAATATATAAGACAGTGTTGCAACTCAAGAACCAAAAGATAATTCAATTTTAAAATGGGCAGAGAACTTAAATAGACATTTCTCCAAAGAATACATAAAAATGGCCAACAAGCAGATGGAAGATCAAGTCATTAGAGAAAAAAAAATCAAAACCACAAGAAGATACCACTTTGCATCCACAGTGACTATAATTGTTTTAAAGAACTGTTGGTGAGGATGTGGAGAAATTGAAACCCTCATACAATAGTGGTGGGAATGTAAAATGGCACAACTGCTGTGGAAAAATGTTTGATGGCTTCTCAAAAAGTTAAGCCTAGAATTACTGTGCAACCCAGCAAGTCCACTCCTAGGTGTATATTCAAAAGAACTGCAAGTGTGGTGGTGGTGGTGGTGGTGGTGGTGGAGGTAGGCAGGTGCTGGCATATAGTAATGCAGCTGGAACCACATGAGAAAGGTCCTGGGTTCATGTCCCAGGATCTCACTGAGTACACTGGGTGTATGTTTGTGGGTGCCACCTGGATTGTGGTATAAAGACCCCCTTGGGGTGCTTATATTTCTGTTTCTGTCTCTGCCTCTCGCTCATGGAAGAAATAAATAAATAATTAGACATGTATTCAAAGAAATACTTATATACAAATGTTCATAGCATCATTATTCCCAATAACCAAAAGGTAGAAACAACCCAAATGTCCATCGATAGATTAAAAAATGTAAGAAAATGTTGTATAGCTGTACAATGAAATATTATTCAGTCATGAAAAGAAATGAAGCATTGATATATGCTACAAGGTAGATAAATCTTGAAAATTATGCTAAATAAAAGGGGCTAGACAGATAAGTTCATATAATGAATGATTCCATTTATATGAAATATCCAGGGATAGGTAAATCCAGAGGAATAGAAAGAAGACTGGTGATTGTCACAGCTCAGAAGAGAAGGGGGGGAGTGACTATTTAATAGATATGGATTTCAGGTAATGGAAAAGTTCTTGGAACTAGACAGAGGTGATTACACCACAATAGTGCAAACATACTAAATGCCACTGAAGCGTTCACCTTGAAGGGGTTAATTTTATGTTTGTGACTTCTGCTTCAATGTTCTTAAAGAAAGGGCACAGTAAAGGCAAACGGGGGTCTGAAACTAAGGCCAAAAGCTTGGCCGATATATTCCTTAGCACACCACCTTCCCACTCCTCCCTTTTTTCCAACTTTCAGAAATTTCTTGAAGAAGGTTGTTCACCCAGCTTCTTCTCTCTGTCTTCCCTTAGATAACCTTTACCTTCAACTCTCAATTCCTTCTGTCACCATGGAGAAGCACCTTATCAAATCTACACTGAGAGGTATTTTGACCTCAGTTGCATGTTAGCTTTTCCCTTTTCATTTCCTCTTTTTTTTTTTTACTTTCTTTCTTTCTCTTTCTTCTTTCTTTCTTTCTTTCTTTCTTTCTTTCTTTCTTTCTTTCTTTCTTTCTTTCTTTTTAGGTTTTTGCCATTGGCAGTGTACACTTGCCACAGAGAGACAGAGAGATAGAAACTGAGAAATCACTCTCCAGGGAGGATGGTCACATTGCAATCTCTTTTCCTCCATTCTCCTCTTTGGATTTTGTGCATGTACATACACGTACCTGGCATGATTGTCAAGCTGCTGGGTTCAGGACTCAAACTGCAGTTGGCCATGTGGGAGTCCAGTACCTTAACAACAATACCACCTGCTTCCCCCCAGCCCCCCCCCACCTTAGTGTTCTTTTTCTAGTACATGAATTTTGAAAGTAGACAAGGAGAAAGACAATGATGCCTGTATTGAAGTAAGGAATTAAAAATGGAAGTTTAGGCACCATGACCTACAGTAGGTTAGAACTGGAGGGAGGAGACTTGTAGGGACCCCACAGAGTCTACCAAATAGCCACCACCGATTACATTTGTGCATCAGGGTAGTGCTGCCAGTGAAGCCTGAATCTAGGAATCCCAGTCCTAAGGTACCATCTTCTCAACTTGCCAACCCAGAGAGTTTTTCTTCCAGCCCAAGCACAGAAGCTCAGATTCTACACAGAGCTTCTACTTTCACCTGCCCCAGGGGAAAGTCTCCAAGAATAAAGGGCATCTTTCCTCCAAAGAGGCCCCGACTCACAGACAACTTTCCACAGCTCTCTCACCCAAAAGGTCCCTCAGGTCAAAACTTAGGGGAACTCTTTCTCCCTCCTAGGACCCCACCCACGTTGATCGGCTTTTCCCTATTCCTTAGTTCCTGGGTTTTCCAGTGTGGGGGAAGGAACGTGGGGATGCAAAATACACGTATGAGAGAGAGACAGACTGGGGATAGATAGGAAAGTATTTTTCTTGACTTAGGTTTACTGGCAGGAGCCCTCAGTACTTCCATTCAGCCCATGACTACAATTCTTTCCTTTTCCCTTGCCCTACTCCATATTTCATTTTTAATCACCCATTCTTTGGATAGTCCAGGATCAAATTACAAACTACTTTCAGATTCCTGCTCCTTGGAGACTGGAGCATGGGACAGTAACATCCGAGGGCCTAGGGGCTGCCTTCCTCATTTCCAGGGTCAAAGGAAAGCCCTTTATAGGCATGAAATAATTCCCTAAACACATGTGGGACATTACATTAAAGCAATGGTACTCAACTCTGGCTGCAGATTAGAACTGAGATTTAAAAAAAAAAATGATGCCTGGGGACCAGCAGTTAGCGTAATGACTGTGTCGCTGGCCTCCCATGTAGGCCACTGCGGTTCGCGTCCTGTGCCCAGTGGCTTAGAACTCACGCCGGGCGCGTGTGCGTGCCCAAGATTCCGAGAGGAGAATGGAGGAGAAGGGATTGCGGCGTGGCCATCCCCCCGGGGGGTGATTTCTCGCTTTCTGTCTCTATGTCTCTCTCTGTCTGGCAAGCGCACGCACCCTATAGTGAAAACCTCTCAAAAAAAAAAAAAAAGATGCCTGGGTTTCAGTTTAGGCCAACTAAATCAGAATCCCTGGAAAAGAGGCCCCGGCATCTGTGTTTTGTTTTGTTTGTTTTTTGGGGGGGTTAATCATCTCAGATGATTTAATATGAAGCCTAGTTGATAACCATAGCTTGAAACTGTTCTCTCTGTAATTAGAGATCAAGGTTTATCAAAAAAGCAAATAAATGCTTATAAGTGCTGTTAGAACAAAGGAAAGAAAGAGCGTACTATTATGGGGCACCTACTGGGTCCTCAGTCCTGGTGTGTTTTTGCAGACACACACATACACAAATATGGAAAAGATGTGGAAGGGAGGCATAGGAATGTGGGAAGGCTGAGGCTGAGGTTCAAGGCAAGACCTGGCAAGCAGCTTAGCCTAGGGCTGACTCTTGAAATGCAAAAAGAAAATAGCCCAGATGCTCTGTCTGAGTAAACCCCAGAACAAAATTCCTTGGGAGGGTAGACTAGTATTCATTTTACTAGTAGTCTCCTTCCCCCCCCAAAACAAAACAAAACAAAACAAAACAAAACAAATCAAAACAAAACAAAACAAAACAAAAACAAAAAAAACAACCCTCTTTTCATCTCTCCCAAAGTCTGTTTGGAGAAAAATTACCCCTAAAAGTCTGTACTAAAACTTTCTGCGGGGTGGGGGTGGGGGTGGGGTAGGAAAGACTATTTTTACATAGTTAGTGCGAATGCGAGAACCCAGAACACCTCCCCTCCTCCCATCCCACCTCCAGAATGTGCCTCAAGTACACAGGTAGTGCATGTTAACAAGAAAGATTTGCAGACTGATGACATCATCTGGCTCTTTTAGCTTGAGATGTTCGAAGGCAGGTCCGTCCTTGAAGCAACTGCTTTTGACTCCTCCCTTCAAAACGTGGATCCCCATTGCCACCAACTGCCTAGCCTTACCAGAGGCCATTGTGAAATGGAAAGTTGCTTCCTTTCTTACCATGTCCTTAAAGCCTCCAAGGACAGCGGCAGTGATGATGCCCAGGAACAGGCCGACAATGTTGAGGATGGTGGCAGACCAGAGCAGGTGGTAGAGGTGGATGATGTCCTGACAGCTGCTGACATCGATGTATTCATAGTACCCACCGGTGATCTCCACCCGGCTGGACAGGGAGGAACACACTCCAGTAAGTCCCCAGGGAGCAGACTCTCTACTCATCCCAGGATTTGGCTACCGTGCAACTTGATGAAAAAGGCAGGTGGATTGGTGGGGAGCTATTGTAAGGAACATGATAGCCATGCACTTGGAGAGCTAGTCACTATAATAAATTAAAGTATGACTGCTGTTTATGAAAAGGAAAAAAGAAAAACTTCTCTACCTCCCAGAGAAACTTGTTGCCATCATGAACACTAACCCTAAATAGCATCTATTAACACTTCATAAATACCAGGCATCGTGCTATGCATTTTACATATGTTACTTTATTGAATCTGTGCTGTGCAATATGGTAGCTGCTAACCAGAGGTGACGATTTAAATTTAAATGAATTAAAATGAAAAATTCAGTTCAGTCTCACCAAACATTTCAAGTGCTCGACAGACACATGTGGTTATGCTGGTGGTTACTGTCCCAGACAGAGCAGATTACAGAACATGGCCATCATCACAGAGAGTTCTATTAGACAGCACTGTAAATCCTTACAATATTCTATGAGGTAGGTGCCATCACCATTCCCATTTTACACATAAAAGCAGTGAAGTACAGAGAGGTTAAGGAACTTGCCCAAGTCCTAAGTGGTAGAGTTGGGATCTGAATTCAGACTTCAGTGTCTCCCCTTCTCAAAACAAAACAAAAAGCAAGGAACTGATAATTAAAGCTGAGTTGTATGAAAAAGGAATATCAACTCCTTGAGGAGGCCTTCCCTAAGCACCTAGTCCAAAGATACCTCTACGCCACCCCCACCCAGCCCAGTCACTCTCTATCACATCACCTGCTAAGGACAGAACTGTGTCTTCCAAAATTCATATGTTGAAGCCCTAACCCCCAGTGTCACTGAATCTGCAGACAGAACTATTAGAATATAGTTAAGGGAGGTCATAACGGTGGGGTTCCAAGCCAATATGATTATTGATCTTATAAGAAGAGCTCTCCCTCTCCCCTCTGTCCCTCTCCCTCCTCTTCCTCTGTCTACTTTTCCTCTCATCCCTCACCCCACTAGCAGGCACATTGAGAAAAGGTCATATGAGCACAGAGAGAGGGCAGTGGCAAGAAGAGAACAACTATTCTGGCGCCCTGATCTCTGACTTCTAGACTTCAGAACTGTGAGCAAATGAATTTCTGTTGTTTAAGCCGCCCCAAGTATGGTCTTTTGTTATGGCAGCCCAGGCTAACTAATACATTACCCTTGTTTAATTTCTGTAGAGCACTCATTCCTGTGTGGAATTATCTTACTGGTGTGTCTTACTACATTATTGTTAGTGCCCCCAACTTGACTCTGAGGTCCATGAGGGCAAGAATTTGGTGTGTTTTGTCCACTGTTGTACCCAGTACATAGCTGGTGTTACGTAAATACCCGCTGAATTAATGAAATGAAATTTCCTCTCCTCCCAGTGTTACAAGCTAAATAGTTTACAACTTGGCCACTGGAACTGATGAAGAATCTAAAACACTGTGATTCTTAAAATTAAGGTCACAGCCAAATGTCCTAGTGTCAGGATGGTTATTATATGCGACTTCTCTGCTATAAGAACACTGAAAATGAAGAAAAAGAAATCAAAGGTTAATCTTCAAAATGAATTATGGAGGGATTCTTCACATAGGAAAAGACTTTTAAACTAATTTACAGATTAAATGATTTTTAGGATTCTTTAATATCAGTGTTTCTCTGTTTTAGAACACTGTGTCAGAATCATCTGTGTTTGTGTCTAGGTGTGCCTCTCTGTGTGTCAGTGTGCTACCCGTGTGTGCCTGTGGGTGTGTCTGTGTGTATCTGTGCATGTGTCTTTGAGAAAGGGATGGTTAAACATGCAGAATCCAGGCCCATCCCCAACCCCGAATTGGGCAGAATCTTGCGGGGGCTGGGCTCAGGATTCTGTGTTAACAAGCTCACCAGGGGCCAGGCAGTGGTGCCACAGAATCCCAACTGATCTCACATGGGTTTGTGTCCTGGGACACCCACTCCTCCACCCTCAAGCATGCTGGATGCATGAAGGCATTCCCATGAGCTGGGCCAGCTGAGAGGTGATGGATCATGATGTATGTACCCTGATGGAGGGGCTTGTCTCTCCCTTTTTAAACTAACTTACACAAAAACAAAACAAAACAAAACAGAAACAAGCTCACTAATGTTTGAAACCGATTGTTCCCAATAGTGAGCTTCCATAATGGGATTTGAAGGGTGTTTTCAATTCATCAGCATTTGAACTAGATTTCAGTATTTTGAGGAACACATCTGAAGAACTCAGCCATGAGCATACATTGAATGTCTCCTATTCATTGCCATTGCACTAGGCCCTGCGGATGAGGCAGGTAGGATGCGCAAATCACTTACTGCCCATAAAAGGCACAGCTTTATAAGGACTAACTCCTGAAAAAAAGGTGTGTAAGGGTAAGTGTGGGATTATAGGCACACCTTAGTGCTTGGGAGTCTGATTCTGACATCTCCCAAGTTATCTTTGCCTACTTCCTAAAATACCAAGGGTAGGCTGGTAGTATATACAGATAGGTATATCATAATGACTCTGGAATTGGACTACATTTGAATTCTGACTCTGTTGTTTATTCGCTGTCTGACTTTGATCAACTTTCTTAATCCAACTTCTCTGAGCCAGAGGGCTTTAATGAGAATATGCATGGAAGTAGTACTCCAGCACATAAAAGAACCCCCTCTCCACCAACATGTAGCTATATTTTGTCCCTTCTAAGAGTTGGCCTCTGGGAACACAATTGAAACCTTTGAAACCTATTCTTTTTTTGGAGAGGTTTTTGCTATAGGGCACATGCGCTTGCCAGAAAGACAGAGAGAGACAGAGAGACAGAAAGTGAGAAATCACCCTCCAAGGGGGGATGGCCATGCTGCAATCCCTTCTCCTTCATTCTCCTCTCAGGATCTTGGGCATGCACGCACACGCACCCGGCATGAGTTTAAGCCGCCAGGTCCGGTACTTGAACCATGGACAACTACATGAGTGTCCAGCGACATAGCCATTACGCCATCTGCTGGTCCCTTGAATCCTATTCTTAAAGGCATTAATGCTTCAAGGGCACAGACTACAACATGGTGATAGGATAGTAGTTCATTTAAAATTATTCGATAATGGAGGCCAGCAGGTGGCATGGAGGTGAAGGCAGCTAGATTCCATATGGCTGACTGCACAGTTTGAAAAGCACACTGAGTGTGTGTGCATGCGTGCCCAAAATCCCAAGAGGAGAATGGAGGAGAACGGATCATGACCATCACCCCTGGGAGGGGATTTCTCACTTTCCTTCATTCTATCTCTCTCTGGTGAGCATACATGTCCCATAGCAAATTAAATATATATAGACATATATAGAGAGATATTAGGTTATTGGAAAAGTCATGATGCATTTTTGGATTAAAAAAAAACAGAAAAAAAATACATCATGATTTTTCTGGCAACTGTGTGTGTGTGTGTGTGTGTGTGTGTGTGTGTGTGTTTGTATCAGAGAATATGTGTTTGGTTTCAGTTTGAGTGGCTTCAGTGCTATTTAAATTTATTTTAACTGAACCATGGAGCAAAAGAAAGTTAATACTTAGATATGGTTCAGGGTTGAGCGAGCTAATGTGGTTTGTTTTTGTTCGAGATTCATGGTTCCATTTGACTCAGTCTTTGGGCAGAGCTTGCATTGCCTTTGGTCCCTACTTCTCACCTCCCTGACTGCAACGCTTTCTTTCCAGACGCTACCACTGCCTAATTACTCTTCCTAAAACTCTTTCTTTTTTAAAGATTTATTTATTTAATTTTTATTTATTCATTCATTTATTTTAATTTGACCGGAGAGAAAGACACACACACACACACACAGAGGGAAAGTGAGAAAGCAAGCCACCAGGTCTGGGACTCTAACCGTGATCGACCATGTGGGAGTGTCCAATGCCTTAACCACCATATCACCTGCTGGCTCCCTAAAGCACTTTTTAAACCAGAAGACAAGAAATCTTCAAAAAGTTCATGGAAAATAAATATAATAAAAACCCCAATACTTGGATTTCCAAAACTTTTTTGCACCAAAATAAACTTATACTTTAATTACACTTTTCTAACAATTTTTTGAAATCCTGTTGCATGTCATTCACTTCATCGAAACCCTTCCATGGCCACCCATTACCTTGAGGGAAAAGTGTCCAAATTCCCCAGTCTGCTGCAATCTGGCCACAAAATGAAGTCCATACTTCTATCAGGCTGGAGTTCTCAGAAGCCCCAAACTAGCCATGCTGGTACTTATTCTAAACCTTTGCATAGATTTTTTCCCCTACATGGAAGCGTTGCCTTCTCTTCTCTGCCTGTCCTAGTCTCTCCCACTGCTCAAAGCTTCAACAGCACCTTCTTCTAAGACTCCAGGATCTATTTGTTAGCTTTTTCCCTAGACCCCCACCACCTCCGGCAGTCTATTCCTCTTAGTTTTGCACTTTGCAAGTGTAAATCATTCAGTTACTCATTTAATCCACAATGTACTGAGAGCCTACTCAAGTGCTGAGTACTGTGCTGGGTGCTAAAGCTACAACCAAGGACAAGGCTAGTATAATGTCTCTGTCAAAACTGTGACTACTTAAGGGCAAGGGTCATCCCTTATGTATTTTTGTGTCTCCCACACTGCCTAGCAGAGGGGTAGAAATCTTAATGGTCATCAATACATACTTGGTCAATGAGTAACTGAGTGCAAAGACTGATCACTGCGTTGATCATGAGATTGATTAGGCAATATGGACTGTCACCTCCTTGCGCTCAATTTGCTGGGTGGGCCTAGAAAAACAAATCACCTCTGTGTGTCACAGTCTCTACTTAACAAAGTGCGGGGCAACAGATCTTGGATAAGGCAGGAGGGAATCCTTCTGTTCTTCAAGAGAGGCCTGGAACAGTTCACTAATTCTTGGTGGACAGGCAGTGACAATGATAAGGGCAGCCTCTACGTATATCTCTCTTACTGCATGTGTTCTATATATCCATTTAAGTTCCCTTCCCTATAATCACCCTAATAAATTTAGTTCCTAAAGAGCAAAACTGTGTCTTACTGATACCTATTTTTTCATAAAAGTTTCTGGCACATAGTAAGAGCTCAATAAAAGTTTGTCCAAGAGAGAAATTAGCAGAAGTAAGCCATTACTTTTCACTTATTACCTACTGAAGCAGTTCACAAACCACTGCATTTCCTTTTCATCTTTCCTGTTAGATTACACACTAACAACCAGTGACACTGACTTGACCTCTCCAAAGATAAGTGAGTAGATGAAAACTGAAATACTCAGAAAGGCAGCTGCTGATGAGCTGTGTCCTAGAGAAAGCCATCTCTCTATATAAATCGAAATGGAATAATCCATGTTTGGTATTGAAGCCTCATCACCCCTGACGTCAGAGAACGTCTGTGGGGTCCACAGGACAGTAGAAATTCTGTTTCTGTAGCACTGTACAAATGACTGCTGATGTTTTTGTTCCCACTTTTTTTCTTGGCCTCCTTTCCAGGAAATGGACTGGAGGAGCTGGCAATTGATTAAAAATAGTCTTTGTGTGAGGAAAACAAATACACATTTGGCAATATTTAAGTCTCTGGGCCTCAGAATGCCTGTTGCTAGCTATATTTAGGCCTTGTGTTTAGGTCTCTTTGGTTCTGGCTGGAAAAAAACCCAGGTCAAGGGAAAATGTTTCCTTGTATTGTGAGACCATTCTCTTTTTAGTCTCATGGCCTCCGTTTATGACCTGGTAGAACTCTTTCTTGATGGGAGCTAAACAATTCCTTTCCCACTGGCTTTGCCCTTGGAATCTTAGCACTACAGACTTGGGAAAGGGCTTTGGGAGATGCCTAGGGCTGGTCTCCAGGCACCAGGTTGGTGAAAGTCATTTCAAGGCTTGAAGAGCAGTGTTTCCATGACACTTCCTAATTACCTAGTCCGTTTTTTTATTTTCCTGGTGAAAGGGAGTTCTTTTTGTTCCTTTTCAATAAATATCCCTCCCTTTTCAGCAGCTCTTACTTTACTCTTGCCCAGACATGTGCTAGGGCCAGGATAGAGATAAGATTAAGCCCATTCTCTTTACTCTTAGGGAGTCCATCATTTAGCACAGTTCCTCATAAATTCTTTAGAGCATTGAAGACAATACTGTAATGGTATAACTTGCTTTAAGAAAGTTAAAAAAGTGAATTATTATGAAGTTCAGGTTGACAGGAAGATAAATTGGGCTTGAGCCATCGCTTTCAAAAACAAATCAAGGGGCCGGCAAGTGGCGTGGTGGTTAAAGGCGCTGGACTCCCACAGGGCTGACCACGGTTCAAGTCTTGGACCTGCTTTCTCTCTCACTTTCCCTCTCTCTCTAGCTCTCTCTGATAAAACTGGAAAATAATAATGATAATAATAATAAATAAAGTTAAATAATTATTTTTTAAAAATCAAACAAAATTCACCCAAGGATCAATTAGCTAAATTGAATTTAAAGTAGAGTTTTGTGAATTCAAACCTTTTTTTTTTTTTAAGGTTTTTGCCATAGGGTGTATGTGAGCTCCAGAGAGAGACAGAGAGAGGAAAAGTGAGAAATCACCCTCGCAGAGGGGATGGCCACACGGTAATCCCTTCTCCTCCATTCTGTTCTTGGGGTTTTGGGCATGCAGGTCCATGTGCCCAGTATGATTTTCTTTTTTCTTGCTGACAATGAACATGTTTACTTGTTTAAAAAAAATTACAATTTTAAATACTGTTCACAAATTAAATTCACATCACCAGTCGATGACTTAATGGTTACATCGCTGGACTCCCACGTAGTTGACCGTGGTTTGAGGCCTGGACTAATGGCTTAAAACTCATGCTGGGCACCCAAGTGTGTGTGCCCAAGATCCCTAGAGAATGGAAGAGAAGGGATTGTGGCGTGGCCCTCTCCTGGAAGGGTGATTTTTCACTTTCTGTCTCTCTGGCAAACACACACGCCCTATAGCAAAAAATCTCTCTCTGTGCAAGTGTGTCTGCTTCGTTGATCAGCTGCCCATCGATTAGGAATCTGATCTGCCTCACTGACAAACTCTGTTGTTCACAATAGGCTTTCATTAGTTTACTAAGCGGTGTATGCCTCTTAATCTTTTTGGAGGTTTTTTTTTTTTTTCTATAGGGTGTGTGCACTTGCTGGTGAGACAGAGAGACAGAAAGCAATAAATCACCCCCCCCGGGGGGGGATGGCCATGCCACAGTTCCTTCTCCTCCTCTCTCCTCTTAGGATTTTGGACACACATGCACATACCTCTGATGTGAGTTTTAAGTCACCGGGTCTGGGAACAGTGGTCAACTATGTGGGAGTTCAACAACGTAACCATTATGTCATCTGTTGCTCCCACCTCTTAATCTTAAACTGCACCACAGAACCATCCTGCCCCGCCACCTTCAAATGAATATGATTGTTGTTCTCAGTCTTGACTCGTTCATTGGGCTTTTCATCAGCCATGGCAAGTACAAGAGTCTCCTCAGCTTCTGCCTCACAGAAGAGGTCCCAGGTACCACCTAATGAGTACACAAGCCACAGAAGAAGGAGGCAGTGGGGTCTGCACCCCAGCATGATTTTCAAGTTGCTGGGTCCAGTACTCAAACCACGATAGGTCAGCTGTGTGGAAATCTAGTGCCTTAATGACCACACCACCTGCTGGCCCCCTATATTCAAACCCTTTTCAGAAACACACCCATTGCAGAGAAAAAGTTGTGTCTGCAAGGAATCAGTTCTCAGTCCTCTCAGTGGGCGTCCTGTCTCCTTCTGGCATGTCAAACCCAGTTCTGGCCAGCTCCCAACCTTTGCCCCAGGAGGTGGGAAGTGAGAAGGGAAAGGGGAACAGGCCAGAGGAGAGGGTGGAGGTAAAAAGAGAGGAAGGATAGAGCAGGAGAGGGAAAGATAAGGAGACACAAAAGGAAAGATAACAAAATAACCCCAATTCCACTAGGACCTATTTTATGTTCATTGATCATTTTTGGAAGGCTGGGCTTAGCAAGTATAATTAAAGCCAGCTCTCAATCATCACTGCTGAGGAGGGAAGTTCTTTTTATAAGCGTTAGTTATTATCACAGCAAGAATAATTAGCCCTCCAGATAATCCTTAAACCTCCTTAGAGTCTTTAAGCTTCTCTTTCTCCACTACCAAACCTTTCAGGGAAAGGAGCTGGTGCCAATGAAGAAGGGAAAGGCTAGGGTGAGTTCTCCCCCTCCTCTTCCCTACCTTGGCCCTCAGGTTTTATCTTCATACCAGAGAAACTGGCTTCCATCATAACAAGAGCAAGGAATGTGAGGAGAACGTGGCCACCAGCTGGTACTCTAAATCTAGCTTCATCCAGCCCACTAAGAGGTTCCTCTCTTAGTCCCTGCCTTCCTTGGCCTTCAGCTCTCCTGCACTGAGTCTGGAGAAAATACTTGCATCAACAAGCATTGGCTGACACACCTTTCATGGAGTGGAGTGGGTATTCCAAGCTCCTCATCACCTACTCACTCATTACTGTTAATTCTACCTTCAAAAATCTCTCTTAAAATATTCCCTGTAGGGACTGGGTAGTGGCACAGTAGTAAAACCCAGTGCTCTGTAAGGCTGACCCACAAGGGAAGGTTCTGGGTTTGCATCTGGAGACCTCTCTCTCTGAGTACACCAGACATGTGCATGCCCGTGATCCAGGACTGAGGCTGAGGGTGAATTGCAGCATTGAGAACATGTTGGGTGCTCTCTCTCTATCAGAATAAATAAACTTTAAAAAAACAATTCCCTGCCTTCTATTGTCCTCAATCCATCTTAACCTAGGCTCTATTCTCTGTGGCTTGAACTCTTGTAGGGCCCCCCTAGCTGCCTCCAGCCACTATTTTGTGGGGGCCCCCTGCCTCCCCCCAGCCACTAGTCTATCTTCCATTTCAAGTCATCTTCTGAAGCAGAACTAGCACCAAACTCACCCCTGCCTCAGGGCCTTTGCATTTGCTTGAAATACTTGTTTAAAACCATCTGCTTGGGGACCAGCAGTTAGTGTAACGGTTATGTCGCTGGATTCCCACGTAGTCGACTGCGGTTCAAGTCCTGGACCTGGTGGCTTAAACTCACGCCAGGCGCGTGTGCGTGCGTGCCCAAGATCCCAAGAGGAGAATGGAGGAGAAGGGATTGAGGCATGGTCATCCCCTCTGGGGGGGGTGAGTTCTCGCTTTCTGTCTCTCTGTCTTTCTGGCTAGGTATAGCCAAAACCTCTCAAAAAAAAAAAAAAAAAAGTCTGCTTAAAAAACTCTTTTTCCAGGTATCATGCAGCTCTCTGCACACATGTCACCTCCTCAAGGAGCTTCTCACTGGCTAATCTATCTAACATAGCAGGCACACACACACACAGTAACTATCTATCTACCTCTCCTGCTTCATTTTTCAGAGCTCTGGTCACCACCTGGAATTGTATTATATAGTAGTGTGCTTATTGACTGTGTCCCCTACTAGCATATAAGCTCCATAAGGTCCCAAAAGGAAGAACTTTTGTTTGCTTCTGCATCTTCAGTGTCTAGAACAGGGCCAGGCACAGAGAATGTGCTCAATAGCTATTTGTTTAATGTCAGTGAATTTGGACATAGCCAGAGATGAGTTTGAATCCTACCTCTACCATTTTCCAAGTTCTGTGTGGCATTGGGCTAGTTGTCTTTTTCCTCTGAGCTTCACCCTCCTCATCTCTAAAATGAGGATAATTACATACCTCACAGGTAAGAAGTAAATGAGATCAAGTATGTGAGAGTATCTTAGCGTGATGCCTGGCACAGAGAAGGCAGGCCATGACTGTTGGCTGAAATCTGTGGCCAGAGCAATGTCTTCTAATTTTCTGATCTCTCCCATGTACCCTTCCCCGACCCTCAGCCCTTCTGGTGCCCACTGTGGTCAAACCATTATTGCTGTGCCTGGGGCTCAACACTTACTTGCCACAGTTGTAGAGGTCACAGCAGAAGCAGGTGTTGCCCCGGATGCGAGGTGTGCAGAACCCACGGCTGAGGTGAGGGCAGTTCACCTGAGGGTACACAACAGTGAGGGGATGAGCTGGCACTGGCTGGGAGGCAGGACCCTCTGAGATTGGAAATGTGAGTTAGTGACTGATGGAGACAGTAAGAATGGCTGTGAAATGAACACACCGACACATGAGAGGGAGGGGGTTGGGCAGGGAGCTAGCCGAACTTACGTTTGAGGCAAGTTACTGAGAGGCTTAGGTACAGCCTCAGCCACAGACCTCAGTGCCCCGTCCCTGAAGGGTGGAGATGGAAAGGAGAAGGATGGATGGAAGGACAGACAAAAGAACAAATGGACGGTAGGAAATGAAGAGACAAGGGCAGGGGGAAGCGGGATACAGGAGGAAAGAGGATCAGGTGGGAAGGAAGACAGAGGGGCTGTCACATGCACTCTGAAGTACAATAGTACCTCTCTAGCTGCCTGGGTAAGGTTCCTCATAACCCTCGCAGAAGGAGAATTTTTGGCTGAGGAACTTATGACCTTACACAGGAAAAATAGGGTTAGGGGGACCAGGGTTACAAGTGAACCTATGGAAGTCATTATTAATACTCTTACAGTCACCAAGTTACCACAAGAAAGCTATCATGACAAGAGCGAGAGAACAGCAATGACATTTGACACCTTTCGAGTTCGTAAAAAACATTTTAAAACTAGAAAGTTCATTTCCATTGACCGTCTCTTGTTTGCAAGACATTTTCTGAGCTCTCTCCCCATATACGTTTTGATTTGTTATAGAGAACATATATAGTAAATGTGCACTTTTTTCTATAACGAGTCCTTTATCCAAATGCTCATTGCTTTTCTGATAAGCTGTCAGCACAAACACATTTCTAGACCCCTTCCTATTTCCTCTGAGAACAGCTAGAAAGATGGTGCTTTGCGGTAGAGCCGTAATAAAGGTATTTGGCGCTTCCCTTGGGAGCAGGGCCATGGCTCTGCCTGAGTTCAGGGGCACTGTTCACATTGGATTTTCTGGAAAATGGCTTCCCTTAGAAGTTGTGCCATGCCGTTTTACATCCACTTGCTTTCCCTTTCTCTTCCCAGTCACAAGTTTACCATTTGTCTAACTATTCTCAGGGGGATTGACTTTCAATTTGAGGTTAACAGGGTACCGAATTGTCAGGGTTCTTGGAAGCAGAGGTAGAGTTTCATATGGAAAGAAGCCCTGTGCTGGGGAGAGATGATTGTGAACTGAAATAAAAGCTCTCAGAAAATGACCTGAAGCTGCGCTTTGCCTCACTGCCCATCACCTTTCATTCCGCCTGAGGCACATGGAACACAAGGAGCGCTGTATAGGGCAGGAGAGAGGTATTCATATGTGCCCACTCAAGCATCATTAAGCCAGCCCCTCGAGAGTCCAGGCCTCCCCTGAGTCTCGAGGTGGATCAGGCTTCTCAATTACCCTCACTGGGCCTCTAGACTTCTCTAACATGTGGGACTCAGGCTCTGCCTCCCTAGTCCAGGCCTTGGTGGGGCTCCTACCAGCTAGGCACAGAATCCAGGCAACTGAACCGTCAGCCACAGAGATGGGGGAGGGGCATGCCCTGTGGCCTCTGTACTCTCATCTGTCCCTCTTGGGATCAAAGCCACACATTGAGAGGCTGCTGGCTAGGGCCAGAGGGGCAGCCTGTGGCCACAGAACAAAGTAAATCTGATTAAACCTCATGAGGCTCCAACCTATGACCATGGCCTCATTAGCACTGCGCTCTGACCCACTGAACAAATCAGCCGCAGACACCTGAAAGTACACGATAGGCACACAGAAAGGAGTAAAAGAAAGGGGTTTCAGGCAGAACGGGAGACTTTCCCAGGAGGTAAAGACATGCAGCCTCATTCTGGCTCACCTCCTCAGCTTCTTTCTGGGATGTCTTGGGGACATAGTGGCACCGGTTAGCATAGAGTGGTTTCAGATCCTGGAAAGGGAAACACCAAACCAAAGGGGTTTTGGCTTTGGAAAATAAAACAGCAGGAGCACGGCTTGGTAATAAAAAAAAGCAGGAGCGCGGAGTGGTAAAAAAAAAAAAAAAAAGTGAAAACACACAAGCTTGTGCGCATACACCCTGGACCGGAGGTGGGTGGGATTCATTTTTGCAAGTCGCCCATCTATTGAGTCCGCAAATGTGAGGATCAGACAAAATGCTCTAACTCTTTTCTATTGGACTACTTGGTTAATGAGAAATTAGAAAATTGACAAAGACACAGATTTCTTGACATTTCCTCTCTGGTATTCTCTTATTTCTAGTCTTTGTCTTCTTACAGTCCCCAGGAAACAAGATTCAAAGCTCCAAGTTGTTGTGACATCTCTCTCCCAAACAGAGGGAGTCTAGCTCATACAATGAGGTCTCATTTTTACCTGGGGACAGGACAAGGACAGCTGGCTGACTTGTACTCTCTGCTATCATTTCCTCAGGCTTTTCAAAAGGAACAGCTCAGGAAGCGAGCCCCAGGAAGAGGGATGGCCATTGAGCCTGCTGTAGATTTTAACTCAGCTGGACTATGAGCCATTTTCACTCAAATACACAGATTAGATAAAGCCAGCGAACTTCAAAAATACTGCTAAAGCCCAGAAAACTAATGTGGGGCTCAAGGACAGTTGATTTACCCTGCTGGCTTGGCCAGCTTCCTAGAGGGAGCTCTCAGGCATGGGGTTGGGGTAGAACACATAGACATAAGCCAGGGCTGCCTGCAAGCTTCCAGACAGGGAATCTTGAGCTAAAGATCAGCTGAGTGGTAGTGGGCTCTGCCAAAGGCAGGTTAGGACAGGATAGGCAGTTTATATAAACTGACTTTGGAGGCTTAGCTAATGTACCCAGGCAAAGGGAATTTATCTATTGACTCCCTCCCTTCTCTTCCCACTTTTCTCATCATTTCCAATAATCCTGGGGACTGCTTTTTCCCACACATGTGATTTGGCTTCTCCTGCATTTAGCATCCAAGTTACTCCTGCCTCCTAGCTGGCCACCCCATTACAGACCTAGGACTTTCCATCAACTCCTTCTACATGAACCTCTTGGCTGCTCAATGTTTGGAATGGACATGGCCCTGTTAGCTCGGCATAGCATCAGACTTGAAAGGAATGCGGATTCTCATGTTCACATATGGCAAGATTTCTTTGCTGTGTTTAGGTAAAGACAGAAGTCACTAA